TTCTTTGCATTCGTTCTGGCTGCATCTTAACATCCGACTTGTACTCGGTCGTCATAGTGGATGTCACGGTGGTCGCAGTAGTAGCAGTAGTAGTAGTAGTAGTAGTAGTAGTAGTAGTAGTAGTAGTGAACAGGAGGAGGAGCAGGAGTGGGAGTAGTAGTAGTAGTAGTCGTCGTCGTCGTCGTCCCAGTGGCAGTATCAAGTAGTCGCAGTCGTTGCGGTGGTGGTCGTTAGCTCGTACACACGCGCGCAAGTTACTAGAAGCACCGGCTCGCGAGAAGTTGCAGCTCGAAGCATCCCGTGCCCAGGCAGAGGACTCAGAAGAGGTTCGGACTGCTGGCCTGTCCGGCGCTTTCCCTTTCGCTCCGTCCAGGGGCTTTGATTTTGCCATCGTATGCTAATCACATTAATGATAATAAGCATAATAACAACATTCATGATACTAACACTAGTAACAACAATAATGATAATAAGCATAATCATCATCATCATCGTCATTATGGAAACCTGGCCTTCCTCCCAAAGCAACGGCACATAGCCAGTGCGGATCCAGGAGTACATGTCGCCCCAGTCCTCACAACAGGGATTACGGAGAGAGTTTAGGGTTTCGGGTTGAAGCTTGGAAACAATAATTTCGTCTGACTGGCGAGGAAACGGGAAGAGAAGACACACAACATAGCTGAAGCTTCACTTGGACAATTCCCCGTGGCAGAACTACTCAGCTTCGAAACACATTTTACAACTCCTTTCACAACTTCTCCTCTCCAGGGCAAGGCATGGGCATGGGACTTCCTGAGATTTAATGGTTTTGTCACGGTTCTACGTGATAATAGAGTGTTTACAGGGGGGACAAGGGTTCCAAGAGTTCGGAGGGGTATCTTATCTGAGGATCCGTATGCCTGGGATCGTATTTAGGGTCGCTTATTTTCGAGCCTGTCAGTGTTGGATTTAGAGGTTTTGGTTCTGAACAAACCCTGCCCTGGTTTAACTGCACCAAACTGAAAGACATATGTCGCATTCCCCTCTGCCTGTCTCTCTGCATCCCAACAGTCCGAAACGGGATAGAGCCGCATGCCGCGTGGCGAGAAACATGTGCATGATGCCGGACTTTGTCCATCATTGCTTTGGGCTGGGCAATGCAAACCCCTGTAATCCCACAGCAACCCCGGTGAGACCCAACACAAAAACAGGAGTTGTGATATTCTCGCGAATTTGATTGTAGCAAGTGTCGCCCCAAAAAAGAGAGAACCCAAAAACAACTCCGAAGCTCTGGCCAGGTGCAACCCAGCATACCCGGTTGCCCAAAGACTCCAAACGCGATTCATTCACGAAGATCCGATCCCAGCGGATTCTGTGAAGGGTACCGTTGGTAACGACGTTAGCAGGAGATATGGGGGTTTCCAAAAAAGTAGGACTCTAATATAGTACCCTAAATAGTAGGATCCTTACCATGAGGACCCTTCAGTTAAGGTACCCTTTCGGAAACTCCCATATTGGAGTCGCACCTTGCCTTCTCTTGCTGACGATTGCCCCGGTCGTGGGCTTCACCCTGAACCCCAAACTCCCAAACCGCTGGACCCCAAATCCTAAACCTCAACCCCGAAGACAAAAATCCTAAGCCTGGACTGCTTCTACCCTTCTGGATGAAGGGTGTCGGAAAATGCAGGATATAGTGGGATTAGGATTTGGGGTTTATAGGGTGTAGCCTAGCGGCTCCGGGATTGGGTAGAGAAGGCAATCCCGAAAGCTGGCACACCCTTCTACCCCGATCCGACAGCTCCTTGAAGACGTGCTGGAGGGGTTGATCATTCCCGCCAACTTTCAACCTAAGTGGCATTACGGCGGCCGCCGTATCATTATCTGGATCTTACAAGCCCAAACCCGACAAGCCCAAACCGAACACCAGCCGGAGAGCTTCCGCATGCGGGTGGCTGTCAAAATTACGATTCCTTCTTGGGTACCCTAAAACGGTTTCGACTCTCACACTCGCACAAGGCCGGCAAGGCTCCGCATAGTTCGGTCTCCACGATTCTACAGGTCAGCCAAGCAGCTGTCAATCGCGGAAAAAGGCAGTCAGATAAGTATCAGAACAGACAAAGGTAGACACCAACTGCTTGACCGAGGTGCTACTGAGCTAGCGCTCACTGTTTCAAAAGCGAGGGTCGTCTCTACTCATCTTTCTCAGTTATCTCACAGGTCAAACGGCTCCCCAACACAAAGTACGACCCCAAACGGGACTGAGAAAGATCATGTCACTACCGACTTACAGTGTTGCGCTCACGCTTCGTCACGCACGTGATAATATTACAGAGAACATCATGCAGCTAATTCAACGCATCCAAGGCGGCCTCATTCATTGACTTTGAATTCAGTAGCGGGGCATGCTGTTGTCGGTCTCAGAGCACATCCAAATTCTGTCTGAACTCATGCAGCGCATTCATCCATGCAGTGTACCGGCTCCCAGTCGCATCTCAAGAACCAGCTTCGTTGTGCCAACGTTGTTCAGCTTGCTTTGAATTCATCTCAAAGACCAGTTCGTTGTGCCACAGGTGTATTCAGCTTGCATTGAATTCATCGCATTCCACGCCATGAATTGGGTTTAGGGTTTAGGGGTAAATATTAGGTGCCGCATTATATAATTTTGACAACCATCCACCTATAAAGCGAGGGAAGGCAAGGACAAATAATTTAGTTTAAGTTAGCATAAGAGGGATTCTGCACGGGTTCCTTCAAGGGTTCTAGAAGGGTTTAGGGTGTACGTTCGCATAAAAGGGATCTATAGTAAATAGTAAATAATATGGTCTCTGTATATGGTAACTTAACTTAAATCCCTTCACAAGGATCTACAGTGAGTGATGTGGTTTCTTTGTTATGTTAACTTGAAAAATAGAACCCTTAAAAGGAACCCAGTATCTGCCAAAGCTAGACTTCCGGATCCCACACGGCCTTATGGTTCTGGGTTTAGTGTGTCAGGGTTTAGGGTGTCGAGATTTCGGGTCTAGAATGCTGAATGGTTGATCAGACTCGGGTTTCGGGGGCTACTATATTCGGGAAACCAAGGAATCATGTTGCTAGCAAAAGGGGCCGTAATGATGAGGAAACGCTTGGGAGTATATGCGTGTGTGTATATATATATACACACATTAAACTATAGCTATACAGGGGCCAGAAGCGAGTAATGGGCTATAGTGCCCCTACAGTAGGGCCCCAACACAACAAAAGATAACCTCCCCCCCCCCCCACACACACCCCCAAACCTGGGGATCCAAAAACCTACCGTTTTACGGGTCAGACCCTCTAATGACGGGATCATAACCTATTACTTTGTAGGGTTCGGGGATACAGGTAAATCCCAGACCGCAAATACCCTACGGTTGATGATGTAAAGTAAATCCTGCATTACCTTAGGAACCCTAAACTATGGAATTATGGCATATTCCGTATTATGGGTAATGCAGGATTTATATAATCAACCGTAGGACCCCTAAGTCCCAAGCTCTGCCAAGGTGCTTGCTAGCTTTTCGGTCCATGAGCTCCTCGAAATGCCTTCAGGGTGCAGGCTGGTCCCGGTTGAAATCCTGCATGACCCGTAATAAGGAATATACCATAACTCCCATAGTTTAGGGTCCTTAAGGTAATGCAGGATTTTGACCATCAACAGCCCCCACAAAGCTGAAAGCACAAGTCCAACAGACGCCAAACCCTGCATGCCTAAATCACTTAACCACACACGCGAACCTAAGTTCCACTGACTCTCAAAATCGATAACCCTGAACCAAACTGAAAATGTTGACCACTTCAGGGTTGAGGACCAGGGTTTAGAGTGTACGTGTCGTGGATTTGCATCGCAGGGCAGCTTCAGGGCTGCCATGTTGAACTTAAACCCTATTCAGGGAGAATAAATGAAAAGCATCCGGGCAATCTGTATGAGTGGTTCTCTAAATTCGGGTGTCTGCTTCGGTCCCCATTGTAATACGGCACCCTTGCAAAAGGACTCTGAAGGGACCCTAATTTTGAGAACTACCCATATTCAGGCCTTATGATCCGCGACATATTTCCTTCATGAACTTCTGAAGCAACAGCAACAAGAGCTACGGTTGATGATATAAATCTTGCATGACCTGAAGAGCCCTAAACTATTGGAGTATACGGTATATTCCTAATTATGGGCAGTGCAGGATTCATATCATCAACAGTAGGATTGGGGTTTCAGTCGAAGGGCCGGCGAAACCCCCAGCCTCTTTTGGAATGATTCCGAGTATGGGTACCCTGACCCCTTGCTACGGTTGATGGTAGAAATCCTGCAATGCCTGTAAGGACCCTCAACTACGGAAATTATGGTACATTCCTTATGATGGATAATGCAGGATCTATATCATCAACCGTATGATTCTAGGTCCAAGCGGCTTAAAGCTGGCTCGGATCTCCCAGGAAGCGGCGGTGTCCTGGTGGTTGATCTGCGAGTACCTCAAAACTTCGAGGCTTGTCGGTCTCTAACCTCTGAGGCCTCCGAAGGTGGGATGAAGGTAGGTAGGAGAAAGGATCCTTTATACAAGGGCGCTTACTTTGATCCCACCTTTTGAAGCCTCCGATACTGGCAAGCCGCAGCCACAGGAACACAGTAACTCGCCATCACCATCACAGTCCATGACAGCCACTGCCAACATCGTCATCATCATCTGTCTTGATCATTGTTATCAGCCGCCGTATCAGAACCATGATTTTCAGCATGTCATCTTGCACCACCATAATCGTTGACGTCATCGCTATCATCGCGAGGGGCTCGCTAGCATCGACACCTTCGTCAGCACATTTATCATCATCGCCTGAATCATCATGATGCTCATCTTCATCGCCGGAGAAAGCTACAACCAACGTATCCACGGCAACCACACTGGCGCAGCACCAGCAGCACTATCACCACTACAGGAACCAGTGGTAGCAGCAAAAGCACCACCAGCAACAAAAGCTACGTAGAGACATGACACTCAAGATGAAAACGAATATGATCACAAAACCCTACTGCAACACATGCCATGCTGAAAATGGTTCAAGAGATAATAAAACCCTAGACGATATAGCTTCAACACGAAACGCCCTCGGGGCAACGAATTTAACGTCGACCGCTTCATCGCTATGGGTGCCGGTGCCATTGTTGACGCAATCTCCTTTCGCTGGACTAATTTTTGCAAGTCACGCCGAAAGAAGCCTGAGCCCTGAACCCCCAGGAAGCCTAAATAAACCCTGCACAAAAATCGCAGCACAAGGTGCACAAAGCATAGCCAATAAATCAGCGTGACGAGAAGGCCTTGGTCCAGGCGCTTGTCAACGTTTTCTCTATCTATCGACCTATGTATCGATGTAGGTCGCTATCTATCTATCTATCTATCTATCTATCTAACTATACATAAACAAACAGAAACGCATATACATATATGGTCAGGCGTCTGGCG